GGGGGGGGGGGGGAAAGTGACAGCACTTTACCAGGAAAAGGCTCATCTGTGCTGTGAGGCTCGCGTGCAGACCCACTGTGCGTGCTGCACACTGATAGCGACAGCGTGGAAAGCTGACCCGCTGTAGGTTGGTGTAGAATGTGACCCCAACTGGAGTAATCTGAAAAGCCTGAGGATTACACCAGTGGCTCGGCTGTCACAGAGGAGGCAAAGTGACACGGTGCTGGTGTGTGTGTGTTTATGAAAGAATGTGCCAAACATCCCACGGTGGTCTTACACAGCAAAATATAAGATGGTTAATGTTGGAAGGGAAGATATATGTTTTTTATTAAGGTCTATCTATCTATCTATCCTAACCTAATCTAACTGTCCCCTGGTGTGCTGGTGGTCTGTTAGATAATGGTCTCAGCACTGTGCAGCAGCAGTCCTGTTGTTTTAAGACAATAGCTGCACTTTGCCCTGAGGTCACAGCAGAAGGACACTCCAGCGGGGCCAGACGTGTGTCACCTGCTCCGTCCTCTCCTTAGCACTGTCAGGACATGGAAGGGCTCAGCGCTAAGCTTTGTCATCCACACATTGTAAAGGGATTGTTCAGAGGACACGTTCGGAGCCTGGCATCCTTTGTGGGTTTAAGACAAAAAGGAAAAGTGGGGAGAAAGTTACGGAAAATCCTGTTCTGTTATTTGCATGACTAGAGAAAACTAATTCCCACAAACAATGTGCTCTTAATAGCCAGTGTTTTTTGTGTTAATGTAAGACTTGTAAGTATGTCAAACTAAAAAGCTTCAAAATAAACTGTTTCTAGCTTTTCTTCATTTCTTACATGTTATGTTCAGTTAAATGCACCACCTTTTGACCTCATCTTCTTGCCATCTCGTAGGAAAGGTGTGTGTTTGGGTTGGGGGTGGTGTAGGTATAGATCCTGTCACTCCCCCAACATGAACACCTGTTGGAGACACAAAATCCCCTCTTTGTCTCCACAGCCCCCTCTCAGTGGATTACCATGACAACGCCCATTCATATCATGGCTGAAGACTGGTTATACAGCTTCACACGGTCAATTATCACTGAACAGGGCGCATTGTTTTAGGGGGACGCTGCTTTTCTAAAACTGGCGAAGGCTGTGTAAATAGCTCTAGAAAAGCTTTATTTCATTCTTGAGGTGTTGTGTAGTTTCACAGCTGCACACCAGTATGAAATGTCTAAGCTGAAATAAATGCATCCAGAAACATTAAATACCCTGCTCATGTTGGGAACTGTATTTGAGTAAAGATAAGAAATGATAACATTAAATATCTTTCAGTCAATAAGCAAGAGAGCAGTAAAAGAGTTACGGAAACATATGCCAGCTTTTATTACATCAGGTGGAAGGCAATTTAAAAAGGACTGACTTTGAGGCAAGGTGACTGTAATGTAAAGCACCGTGGAAAAAAACAACAACCCTGGGGACACAAATAGCAATGTAAACAGAGAAGTTACAAGCACTAGGCACACAAATTACATAATACCGTTTGTAAACACAATGCGCTGTGCTTTAAGGTGAATTAAAAAAAAACATTATGATAAAAGAAATGTTAAAATATTGTTATTAGATTGTACTGTCACATTTCTATGTTTCATTGTTTAACATTTGGTTTAGCGTTTCAACAAAAGAACTTCACAAAAACAAACTATTTACAAAGGCAAAGAGTTCACTCCCTTTGGGTTAAAACAAATCATTCACATTATTGACTGGGATGTAAATATAATGGTCCGCTAATATACTTTATATCAACCTCTAACAGTGGCTATGAAGACAAGCTTTCTGCAGCATATTGCCGTCAACCAACTATTTGGACAAAATGAGTCAAAACATCCATCACATTCAACTTTCTGTGATTCGGGCTTGGCACTTCCATTGTCCACATCCAAACACGTAGTGAATTTCTGTCAATTCTGTACAAGTCAGACTTCGACACTCACTAACATCAATAGGCAAGAATCCTCACTTTGCTGAGCTCTTCCTGTTAGTCACAGTCAATTCCTTGTCACAATTACAATAAAGCAGCAACCATGGGAACAATACCACTGACAGGAATGTAAAAACATGAATTATTACTTAATTATCAATCACAGCATGTTTAGTATAAGAGTTAGTATGTAAAGTAAATATGTGAAGACTTTCAAATCATTTCTTCAATTATCAAACACTATATTGTAATACCTATAATATAAAGCAACATATATTATTACAAGATAATAGAACTATGAATAGGATCAGATACAAATCGTACTTCTTATAAGGCTAAACGTCATATAATCTTAATATGTTCAGCCACTGTTACACCACGAGTGTGATTGTTAAGTTTTAAAATTGTTAAAACAATTCTCCTAGCTTTCAGTATACATTCAACAATCAACTTGTGCAAAAAGAAAAAAGTAAAAATCACAAATACGTAACTGGAAATTGATTTCATAACCTTCGCGACCACGTAGTCTTACGATATCCATTTTTAATCCCCATTAAAAATATGGGTAATAACAACCACAAATATGCAGTTTCTGTAGTCACCTTTCATTTGATTTCAGTTTTCTGAGCCCTTCAGGAGTGGTCAATCACAAATTCTCAGGGGAAATTAAAAAAAAACATCCATTTTAGCAACTTGGAAAAAACATTCACATGAAATAATAGCTGTGAATGAGGGAAGGTGTGTACAAACAACACAGTCCTGGGAGACCTTCTGACTAAATGATAGTCATTTGTCTTTCACTTCCCTTCAACAAGCTGGAAATTCAGAACATAATTCAGATGTTTTACTAGCAAAACACTATTTGTTTTTACAGTAAACGCCTTTAGGCTTCTGTTTTTTCTTTCTCATCCTTCTTTTTCTTGCTCTTTTTCAAGAATGAAGGTGTGCGGAACTTCTTTTTCTTTTTCTTGGGGGACTTGGTTTGGCTCTCCGGGGTCTGAGCCTCCCCCGAGTTCTCCTTCGATGTGATGGAGATTTCCACCGTTTCCGAAGTGCTCACGCTCAGCTTGGATACCTCCATGCTCAGATCGTCCTCCAGCTCGGCCAAGTGGTCTTTCCCATTGGGAACTTTGTCTGTCAACAGATGAAACCAAGTCAGTGAGGAGGGGTGTGGGTAAAGAAGTGCAATCACTCAGAGAAGGCTGTAATCAGACATTCATGTGTTTAATTTGGGACATTTCTCGTCTTTCTACAGATTACAACCAGTGGGACATGAAACACAGAAACAAACAAACCAACAGCTAGTCCTAACACCGAATAACTCCAGTGCCTATCAACTAGCTAATTACCTTGTTTAGCCGGTGTCATTATGGGAGAGAGGGAGAGGGAGATAGTAGAGCCATCAAATGTTGTCATCTCATCTGCATCGGTGGCATCATCGTCTTCTGTAAAATGATTAAGGTCATCGGAGGTCAGTCGTTCATCAAAGCTGTTATGTTCATGTGAGGCACATTAGAGTAAAGTGACGTCTTTCAGAATTGTGTGTTCTCTCTGTTCACAGAAGCAACAAGACTGACCATCATGCTAGCAGCTCTGTGAGCTTGTAACGCGGCACCGCAGTGCTTTGAGTTCAATGCTAAATCATGTTTAGTGCTAATATACTGATATTTAGCAGTTTTTACCATACTAGTTTAGTGTGTTAGCATGCTAACATCTGCTCAGTATCACTAAAACCAAAGTAGAACTGAGGCTGATAGGATTTGGTCCTAAACAAAAGTATAAGACAAATAAACATTTTGACCTCATGATGGCACGAGATGAAAGGTTATGACATCCAGAGGGGAACATCTGCACCAAATTACACGGCAACGCACCCAATAGTTAGTTAATAAACCTCATGATGGCACCAAAGGGCAAGAGATCCCCACAGTCGTCAGAATTCACCCGCGGACAGACCGACTGACAGACACTGCCATCCACATACACACAAGCTGCTAGCGTGACAAAACCCCCATAACACTGGGCCGGTTTAACAACGTTGCTACATTTAATCTGTTAGCTGATGAGCTCTAAGATTGACACATTATTGTGATGTGAAAAAACTAAAAAGGTGCTACTATAATAGACAGCTGTGGACATGTGTCCCTCCTGCACACACCTTTTTTCCTTGTCTACAGTCACAACCAAGACATGAGTAGTGTGACAGGACTGATCTGTCGCCGTCCCTGTGAGCCGCCTTCACGACTCAGACGCAGAGTGAAACCATGGACTGACATTTTTCTCCTGCTGGCATTTTTGCAGGAATATCATCATTTAGGTAAAAGTAGTTCCAACATTTCCTCCAGGCAGAAACCGAGTACTCTAATTAACTGCCTGGACTACCGGATGATGCCACTATTTTTTTGCGGATGCCATAAGTACAGCAAACCTTTGGAATATATAAAACTACAACATCAGCATTAGACCCAAGTAATCAGGTGACTGCACTTCATGTAGTAATGTGTCTTTTTTTTCATTCGAAAGGTAAGTTCAATTCGATTTCGTCATTCTTCAGAAATGTGCATTTAATGAGTCCTAAACTCCAATGTTTGGCGTTGCTAGGTGAAGTCAAAGATTGCGGTTAGCTTTCCAGAATAGCTTTGTCTCTGCACCTCAGTGTCTTTCATTACCTCTGTGGCCACCAAGAACTCACTTCAAAACATCACTAACTCAATCTACACAGGATTAGATGAAGTAGAGGTTTTCTGTGCCTCTACAAAGCAGTGGTGCACTGTAAGGCTTTGTAACGGTAAAGTATGAAGGATATACTACCGTCTTGGCCTTGCTGCTTTCTTTCTACTGTGTGCTTGTATTCCTCCAGCTCCTTCTCTGTGAGATTATTGAAAGGGTTGGGGGGAAGAGAGCGAGTGTGCTCCTCGTCCTCAATGATGAAAGCCTGATTGAAAGGAGAGAACAGAAAGACATGGTCACCTGATGTAATGCAGTAAACAGAAGTAATCGCTCATCTGGAACAATGACGACTGTTTATACATTTATTTATACTTTGCCCGGTTGCCCTGGCACAACAGTCCAATGATTACTGTCAAAATCACTATTTCTTCCTGTGTCCAATTCTAGTTCTAGAGAAAAATATTTCATTTTCTCTCAACAGTAGCTGCACTTCTGGCTGTCTTAGTATTAGTTGGATAATCGCAGAAAAACAAAACCATCAAACTCTGTTCGCCTCGTCACCAGGATGAAAGTCTCAGAGGATTGTTACCGACCTTTTCTCTTTTAACACAGGAGTCACTTGCTGGTGCACTGTTGTGTAATGCTAATTGTACTAGATGCTACCACTAGCTAGTTGGGAAGATAAATGTATTGAGTCAAGTGTTAAGTGTTTTAATGCTCAGTAAGAAAACTGCATGGTGATTGTTAGTGTTTAAGAAAATTAAACAACAGACAAACTACCAGACAAGCTTTCTACAAACAGTAAATATACTCACTGGTCCTGGAATAGTGTCCACGACAATGCCAGCAAGTAACTGAGATTTTGGTCCCGAAGTCATCTGGTCACCTCTGTGCTGTTCTTTGATCTGAACAAATGTATTCAACACAATCATATTAAACCTGATTCAGGACTTATATATACTTAATATAGGAGGTGTTTCAGACATTCCTGGAAACACAAATGACAGTGGAGTTTGACATTTGCTGGTTCCAGCTTCTCAAATGTGAGGATTTAATGAAAAAACATATTCAGTTTACTGTCACATGTAGAAGAAAACATTAAAATCCTCACATTTGAGAAGCTGGAACAAGCAAATGTCAAACTCACTGTCATTTGTTTTCTTTTTTTTTATTTTTTATTTTTTCGTCATTGTACGAAAAAATAAAAAATAAAAAAAAAGAAAACAAAAGTGAGTTTGACATTTGCTTGGTTCCAGCTTCTCAAATGTGAGGATTTAATGTTTTCTTCATCACATGTGACAGTAAACTGAATATGTTTTTTTTTTTTTTTTTT